CAGTGCAGAGCCTGATGCAGGGCTCAAACTCAGTAGCCATGAGGTCAAGAGTCCGATGCTTAACTGCCTGTGCCACTCAGGTGCCCTGACCTCATCTTAACTTGATGACATCTGCAAAGACCCTATTTCCAAATAAGGCCACATTCATCAGTATGGGGGTTAGGATTCCAATGTATCTTTTTTTGGGAAACACAGTTGTGTGATAACAGAGCCCTGCGAGGACTAACATGGCATGATTTTATTGGCCAACCCTGTTCCCAACACCAGCCAAATCAGCCTGTTCACTACCCAATGAGCATACCGGCTACATTTTTGCCTCTCAGTTCTGATCAGACTATTATTTCTTTCTGGAAAACCCTCAGCTTCTAAGCCTTGTAACCTTATCCATTTATCCATCCAGCTATCCATCCATTCCAAAAACAGTTAGTGAGTACCTTTTATGTGCCCCATTTTACTGCTTAGTTCCTATCTAACTCACCTGGGAGTCTACTCCACCCATCTCTCTCATCTCAGCTGAAAGCCATCTCTTTCCTCTCAGCTTATGGCCCCACACTTTTATTTATTAAGCACTGAATCAGGAAAATAGGCCTATATCTTAGTGAATGATTTACAGGCACTACTGCCAATCAACATATTAAAAATAAGTAAAGTTTATTTCCTTCTCTAACAGAGGTCCTTGCCTCTTGCCAGAAATCAATGATCCTTGATTGACTGGCTCATTGACTCTTTGACTGACTCTCATTGGAACCTCACTAGACAAGGTGAAATCTGGCTCGCTACCCTCTGCTGGGAGTGCAGTCCTGCATTTCTTCACAGGGCTCTCCAGCCCAGGCCCGGGAGACTGGCACCTGGGCTCCTATTTCTGGTTCTTCTTCTCTTCCTATAACCCCAGAGTTCACAGGTTGGATCAGAGCTACTCTGGGCCCACTCAGGCTGCTCACACAGTCCCTACTCCTCGGTGCTGACTCACTCCTGCTTGCCATTTCTCCCAACACCCCCTGTGCCTGTGTCGAGGGGAAAGCTGCTTCTCTCTGCTCCATGCTTGAGCACAATCTCCACCGACAGCCTCCACGCCTCCACACTGTGTCCTTGCTGAGCAAGTGTGCCTGTATCCTGCTTGGGACAGATCCCCATGAGGCCCTGGCCATACTGTCCCCCTAATTCTCTCTTCTCTACCCTTGGGTTTCGGCCCAGGGGTTCCTTCTTCAGGTTCCTGTGATACACCCTTGATACATACTTCCCTGCAGCACCTCACAATTGTAATTACATAGCTAATTGCTTAATTAGTTATTTCATGTCCATCTTTTTTGCCAGGAAGGAAAAGCAAGGAGGTCAGGGACTGTCTGCTTTGTTGATTGCTGTACTGTGCACAGACTGCACACTTAACAGAAATATGTGTTGGCTGGAGAACAGTTAGTGGAGGCATTGCATGGGCCCACGTTCAACCTGCTGGCCCCTCCTCTGTGATGACGGGCATGATGATGGCACCAAGGGACGAGGGCTTTGCCTGCCTGGGCCTACACAGGCTCAAAGTGGGGAGAAGTGCTCCCGAGAAAGCTGCCTCATGCCTCACTCCAGTCTCCAGGGGCTCTGAAATCCCATCCTGATCTCGTTCGTGCTAATAATATACTGGCCTTACTAATAATAATTATGCTGAGTCTTTTTTAAAAGGGCATTTCAGTCAGGGCCTGATATCCCTAACTGAGCATCTGGTGACAAAGTGACCCGGGAGAGATATCAGAGCAAGGAGGTGGCAGAACTGCAGGAAGAAGAATTATTTGAGCTGCAGAGCATGGGGGTAGAGTGGCATTTGAATTATTCCTCCTTCAGCTTAATTAATGCTACAGGAGAATTTCCAGGGGACTAGGTCTCAGTTTTATTCTGGCTGCAATTAAAGGGGCTCCCCTCTTTTCCTTGCTTGTCTTCATTCTTCTCCATTTTCCATCCACCCAAGAGATCGCCTGTTACCCAAGCTCAGTGATTGAAAGAAGAGCGAGGAATCATAATTTGAAAACGGCCTCATGAGGAAAGCCACGGATCAGACAGGGAGAAGTATGATTTAAATGTAAAAGCTGCTGGGAACCGTGGGGAGGAGGAGAGCTGGACCTGGGGTCATCGGACTGAAAGCCAACAAACCTTCCTTTCCTTTTTAAAAAAAATTGTAAATGTTTATTTACTTTTGAGAGGGGGGGGGGGCAGAGAGAGAAGGAGACACAGAATCAGAAGCAGGCTCCAGGGTCTGAACTGTCAGCACAGAGCCCGATGCGGGGCTGAAACCCACAGACCGCAAGATCATGACCTGAACCGAAGTCTGACACTCAGTTGACGGAGCCTGTGCCCCAAACCTTCCTCTTTCTAAAGGACAAGGGTCCCAGTCTGCGCTAAAACCTGTCTGGCAGAGGGTGGCCTACTGAGTAGCAGCTTCTTCAAGTTGGAGCTGCAAAGTGTAGACAGGGTCCTTCTCCTGAAGCCCTGCAGGATTATCTCCAAGAAAATTTGCTGCTTTCTTTGCACCTTTTACGTATTAAGTCTATTATAAGAAAAAAAAAATCTAAAGCAGTCCTATAGCACTGAATTCGCGGTAACGAAAAGAATTTGCCAGCTATCACCCTCCACCAGTTTAGGTTTGTGTCTGCCTCTGGGGAGTTCAGGGTGTGTGTGCATTTCTCTGTGTGTCTTTGACTATGCTTTGTGCACTGTATGTGTATACTGCACTACCTATGTGTGAGTGTGTGTGTGTGCACGCGCTCACGCACACACACGCCTCCTGCGTGTGTTGCTGATAAGAGCGGCTCACCATGGGCTTTAGGAAAATTCCCACAGTCTTCCACTCCTGTCATAGAGTCACTTAGCCAGTGTGTCCCCCAGGAGGGCCGTGAATGGCATTGCTGGCCCCTGGTGGAGCAGCAAGTCTAGGCAGCCTGGACAGGGAGAAGCCTGTGCTCCCAGCTCTGCCCTGGGTCCCTGGCCATTTCAGGGGACAGAGAGGCAGTTTCACCACTCTTCTGGGGTGTGCCAAAGGGAAGGGAGTCTCAGTCTGTGTGCAGCACCCACTTTTGTGCAGGCTGGGCTCAGAGCCTGGCACATGGCAGAGAGAGGGCCCTAAGGTTGAGGCTTTGACCCCCCCTCAATCTTTTCTCTGTGGATTCCCTCTTTGAAAGACCCCCAAAGCCAGTTCCCTAGAGAGAAAAGAACTCTGTATCCCAGGATGGGTGACCCCTCAGGTTGTCCTGAACTATTATCTTCCTTCCTTAAGTACTTATTTACTTACAGAAGATGAGGGCCAAAAAAAAACACAAAGCAAGAAAACTCTCGCTCGGCACAATCCCAGTGTATGGGCAGCCACTTCACTGATGACCATGACGATGAATATGACTGAGGTGTTAATTTACATGACTTTTATTCTATGGAATGGAAGAATCTCCAGACTGAGGGTAAACATAGATCTCTTTAAGACTCTTTTACAAAGAGTATTATTTTTTAACTCTTTAACACCAACCACAGGATCTCTAGGGCTGATTAATGTCTCTTGTTTTGTCCCAAACAGCTGATGGATGGGAGAGAGGTTCATATTCTGGGACCTGGGTTAGCAGGGGAGAAATGGCAGGAAAAGTGTGAGGGTCTTGGCCCCGGAAGCAGGTGCTGGTGTGCGGCTCTGGGGTGGGGACCTCCACCGGTACCCTGCCTTCCCAGCTTCCTCAGACGAAGGTGAGGAGGCACAGGGGCTGTGGACTATGCAGAGACACGGCATCCACGAGTGGCCCCTGGGTCTTCACACCCCCAGGGGTTGAGGAGAGAGGAAGAGTTCCAAGATGATGTAAAATGCATTTCCTTTCCCAGTCTGACAGGATGAGGACTCTGTCAGACTCACTTTGCTTTTTGAAAAATAATTGACATTTCTTGCAATGCAAGCGTGTGAAGTAATATACGCTCCCTGAAATAGTCTCAGTTCAGTGGACCCCCACATGTGGACCCAGGGCAGTGCTATCAGCATCATCTGGGTGCTTGTGTGACTGTGCTTCCTGGGTGCCTACCTCAGACCTATGGATCTGAAACTTGGGGGGGTGGGGCCCAGAAATCCGTGCCTTAACAAGCTCCCTGGGGATTCTGGTACGCAGTGAAGTGTGAACACCACCGTGGCAGTGGACACAGTAAATCAGCCGCCTTTTTTCCTGCTCCCTCTGGAGAATTTTTCTCCAGAATCCTTCCATGGCCATCCTATCAAAAGGGTCCTTAATTGTCTTTTGTGACTATCATCTGTTCCTGAGATGCTGCAGGCTCTCTGCTTTATTGTTTTCTGTTTTGGAGTGACTAGGATTAGGGAACGTTAGAGGCTTTTTTATTTTTACCAGTTATCCTTGAGAATGTATGTCTCTGTGTGTCTTCCGTGGGGGATGGGCTCTGAGAGCATGGAAAGCACTCATGGCAGCACAGATGACAGTCCCATAAGCCGTGACCAGCGCAGGACCTGTCCTGGGGTTGTTTCTAGTTTATGTCATGTGGGGTCTTATGAATCTCACAAATTCTCACAAATCCCATTTTATGGATGGGGAGACCTAAGGCCAAATATACCTCTGTAAGCGGTTTGAATCCAAGTCTTTCATTCTTCCTGTCATGCCAAAGAACCATTCTGCCATACCAGAGAGCAAGAAAGTTCTGGAGAGGGTCATTTTGCCCCTTTCCCAGCAGACCTGGCTGAAGATAGGGCTCAAAGGGGTAGAATGATATCATGGAACCAAGGTAAAAGTTTCTGTGAAAGCCAAGGCCCTACAGATTTCAGCACAGAACTGACTGTGGCTGGAGCAGATGTCAGCCCCCAGAAACACAGCGAGGATGGAGGCTGCAGCCTAGACAGCAATTCATGGGAGTAACCGGGGAGGATGAGACAAAGGTCCTGCCTCCATTGTGACCCGGGATGACGCAAATTCATCGCAGGGGAAAGAGGGCCTCTGCAAGCACATGGCGGCGGGGGGGGGGGGGGGGGGGGCGCATTTCTCACAGCAGGTACAGGATGAGCCATGGGGCCAAGCGCCCATAGGGATCACCCCCCAAGAAAGGCTGTCCCTTGTCCCATGGCAGGCATGGGCCCTCCAAGCCTGGGGCCCAGAGCAGTGCAGGAGGTGAGTCTGACACAGGTGGGGCAGATTCTAGAGGAAGTGGAAGCCGGTCCAGGCAGTCAGCGTGGGAAGGGAGCAGCGGCAGCAGGCAGCGCAGCATGGAAGGAAGATCTGGCAAAGGGAAAGCCCTCATGGAAGGACAAGGGTGTTGCTGGCAAACTGTCTGAGGAGATGGCTTCCGCCTCCTGCCATGAGGGGGAGATGCTCAAGGAACAGCTCTGTTTGAGGTTCACAGAGCGGGCAGAGGGGGGCAGAGAATGCTGGTGGACATTAGAAGAGAAAAAGCAAGGAGAAGGAGGGACCAGTGGGCTTGGAAGGCAGAAAGCATCAGAAGCTGCAGAAACACAGGGTGTGGGAGGAGCCAGGGCCTGAGACTAGATGAAGGAGCAGCAGGAGGGGGCAAAGAGGAAGGGGCTGAGGGAGATCAGAGGCACCTTGAAGATGGAGCTTGGTTCATGATGAAACAGGGAGGCCTGCAGGGAGCAGAGGCTGGAGACTTCTCGGAGAGACAGCCTGGGGCTCTGCGGGATGGGAGAGCTGACACTACTTTGGCAGAAGGAACCTGGTGGAATACTAAGAAGGGAAGATTTTGCTCACAAAGGGATTGGATGGGGACTCTTCCTACTGATGAGAAGAGAAAGCAAGCCAACCCAACTAGGGCTTTGGACTTAACCCGCAGAAAGCCACCAACCATGCAGAGAAGATTTGTGGGGTCCTGGTGGGGATGTGTCCACCAATGAGCTGATAAAGGGTGAAAATCAGGTTTGTGAATGTGAGTGTGGGCCCCATATACAAATAGTTAATCAAAGATGTGGCACTTTTCCTGGCACGTGTGAGCTTTTTTTCCCTTCTTGGTAACAGAAGACAGGACCAGTCACAATCAGAATGTGACCTGTGAAGTCAAAAATGCTTGTGTCCTCCCCAAATGTATGTGTTGAAGCCCTAACCCCCAGTGGGATGGTATTTGGAGGTAGGGCCTTGGAGAGGTAATTAGGTTTAGATGAGGTCATCAGGGTGGGACCCTGATCAGTGTCCTTATAGGAAGAGGAAGGGAGACCAGAGCTCTTGCTCTCTCCACCATGTGAGGATGCAAGGAGAATGTGACCATCTGCAAGCCAGTAAGAGGACTCTCTCCAGGAGCCAAATCTGCCAGGACCTTGATCTTAGACTTCCCAGCCTCCAGAAGAACTGTGCCAAATCAATGTCTATTGTTCAAACCATCTAGATTATGGTATCTTGTTATGGCTGCCCACACAAGCTAAGACTTTAGGAATGTTAATTTGAACCCCTGTAAATCATACAGGTGTATGAGCCCAGCCCTGCTCATATATCTGTCCCTCTTAATGGGTGGGAATGTTACCAGCAGTTAAGAACTCCTTAGGTTAGGGGGTTTATTCCAACCATAAGAAAGCACAAAGGAACAAATTCTATCTGTTCATTATTCCGGGAGTCTGGTGGGAAGGAAATGATCCTGGGGCTAGAAATAGCAATTTAGAGGAGGAAGACCTGGGGAAAAGTATGGTGGAGAATTAAGACAGAATGAGAGATGAAAGCTCAGAGCCAAGTAGGGAAAACTAGAAAAGTTTAATAGCTATTAATGAGGTCTTCACTTATAAAGTAAAACAAGACGTATTAGAAGATGATGATGTGAAAAACGTCTTGAAAGAACGGCATGAAATAGGGGAATTAAGACGGAGTATAAGACAGAGTACAGTGGTCTTAAGGGTTGTTTTAGGGAACTGCTGATTCAGGGTAACAAGGGGAAGCCTCCAGTTTTGGTGTGAGGGGGTGTGCTTCTAACAAACAGACTCTCTGGTGAGTAAAACAAAATATAAGAAGAGAAAAGAAAAGGAAGTAAGATAAAGGAAAACGGCCTGAGCATTCCAGAAACAGAACAGCACAAGGTGAGTTTCACCTTCTGCAATTTTGCTCTAAGGAGTCTGTCTGCCCTGTGGCAAAAACTCCGCTGAAAATCCTCCCCCCCCCCTTGTGGCTGGAGGAACCAAGGGAAGGAGCCCAGGATAATCAGGGGTGCTGGAGACTTGGGGGTTGGGGTGACTCCCTGGAAAGAGGAGAGCCGGGGAGAGGAAATCCCAACCTCTGGAAATGAACTTCCCCTGATGCTCTGGCTGACCCCTGAATCACTCAATTATGAGACAGACTGAAAACCACAGGACATGAAATCCGAGCGGTTTCCCCCTGCAGACGTGACAGTTTGCAGGTTGCCCTGTTAAATCAGAAACATTGACACTTTTTGGATCAATGTATCAGCACCTCGAGGCTCTACATTGTAACATACATAATGTACATAATCCCCAACTACTAGATATATAAAGAGCCAGGGAAATGTGACCCATTTTCATGGGAAAGAAGGATGCCAACCTCAGGATGACCTTGGCTTCTTTTTAATTTTATTTATTTATTTTGAGAGAGAGACAGAAAGAACGGAAGAGGCACAGAGAGGGAGAGAGAGAATCCCAAGCAGGTTGCCCATCACCAGTGCAGAGCCTGACGTGGGGCTTGAACTCACAAACCGTGAGATCATGACCTGAGCCAAAACCAACAGTTGGGCGCTTAACTGACTGAGCCACACAGGTGCTCTGGAATGACGTCAGCTTTAAAGCAGCTATTACAGCCATGCTCAGTGAAGTAAAGTAAGATATGCTTATGATGCATAAAAATATAAAAAGCCCCAGTTGATAACTGGAAATTATAAAAGAAAGATTAATAAGAAATTATAAAGCTAAAAAAGACAATATGAGGGAAAAAATCACTAGAGGAACTTTCTGTTAGTAGAATGGAGATGGCAAATGAAAGAATCAATGAACTTAAAGATAGTTATAAGGAAGAGAGGAAAAGTTCGGAAAAGAACAAGCAGAGTCTCCAGAGCCTGTGGAACAATTTCACAGGTTCTACATATAGGTAATTGTATTGTAGGTGGTGTCATTGCTTTGAGCCACTCTCAACTTGTATTTTTTCCTCTATGTCTTTATATATTAAAAAACCCCAAGTTCACACCAATACCTTCAATTCCAACTCAACACTACATAATTCATTTTAGTTTTCATGTTTTCCATACTTGTACCTCCTTTCCCAATAGCTCCCATTATCACCAGTGTAATTTCCTCATCTCCTTGCAAATAGCTAATATCCCAACATTTCTTGGCTGCTGGCGCTCTCCCACATGGCTCTAGGTACCTAGAAGGGATGCTTCCCTTGCTCAAGACATCTACCTCGACTGTGTTTGCCAAGTGGCTTTTTGTTGAAAGATAAAAGGAAGAAAGGCAATAAAGTGCTTTGTTTCCCTTCTTGAAAGAAGGGAATAGAAGACTTTAGAAGGGAAAGCCAAGAAAAGAGCCAGTTTATTTTTCTAAAATGAAAATTCATCACCGTGGGATCATGTGTACCTGTGTGTGTACGTACACACACACACACACACACACACACACACACACACACACACAGAGCCCTGGAATGACTTCATTGTGCTGAGGCCCTGAATTCCATCACAGGAGTCTAGGAGGCTGCTGCTGACCTCCCTGGCCACTTTCCTCCTCTTTTCCCAAATTGTCAGCATAGGGGTCCTCCATCAGCTCCTTTAACGTTCCTTTTTTTTTACTGTTACCACAGGGCCTTTGTATGTGCTATTCCTGTCTCTCAGTGTTCTAACCTCTCCTTTCATTTGGGTGACTTATTCTTCAAATCTTTGCTGAAGCAACATCTCCTCTTCTGGAAGCTCTCCTTAATTCCCCTAGATATGGTCGGATTATATTGTTATTTATTGTTTTGTTGATGTTCTCATAGAACACAATGGCTCTTTTCTCCATTGGTCATTATGCACTTATTTATCTCTGTGTCTGACTAATGTCTCCTTTCCTCATTAAACTGTGAGTGATGTGAGAGTAGCAACAATAACAATGTCTCTTTTTGATCTTGATTGTGTCCCTGCCCTGTGGCCAGTACGGGCACATGGCAGCAGCTCAATACATACTTTTCATGCAAATAAATTCTTTGTATTTTTATTTTTACTATTTTTTAAATGCTTATTTATTTTTGAGAGAGACAGTATGAGCAGGGGAGGGGCAGAGAGAGAGGGAGACACAGAATCTGAAGTAGGCTCCAAGCTCTGAGCTGTCGGCACAGAGCCTGATGCGGGGCCTGAACTCAAGAACTGTGAGACCATGACCTGAGCCAAAGTTGGATGCCTAACCAACCATGCCACCCACGCGCCCCATGTCTATTATGATTAAAAGGCAAAAAATTGAGAAATAATATGATAAATACCATGAGACAGGTGAACATAACAATTGTGGAGGATCCTGAAAGCTCTTAGGTCTAGGAGTTTATATGCTGTATCAGTTAGAAGAACAACAAAAACCACAACGAATGGTCTAACTAATATATACAAGAACATCATATGGGAAATCCTTTACATAAAAAAATTTTAATGTAAGGCATAAATGTTATAATTTAGGCCATATATGACATAATAAAGGCCATGTATGACAAGCCATGGCTAATATCATACTCAACAGTGAAAAGCTGAAAGCTTTCTTTCTAAGAGAAGGATAAAGACAGGATGCTCACTCTCCCTATTTTTATTCAACATGGAATTGGAAGGCCGAGCTAGAGGAATTAGGCAAGAAAAAAAAATAAGAGGCATCCAAATTGGAAAGGAAGAAGTACAGCTGTATTTGCAGATGACATGATCCTATATATAGAAAACTCTAAATGCTCCACCAAAAAACCTGTTAGGACTAATAAACGAATTCAGTAAAGTTGTAAGATACAAAATTAATATACAAAAATATGTTGCATTTTAACACACGAATAACAAACTATAAGAAAGAGAAATCAAGAAAACAATCCCATTTACAATTGCATCGAAAAGAATAAAATACTTGGGAAAAATTTTTACCAAGTACATGAAAGACCTGTACACTGAAAACTACTTTTAGATTGATGATGAAACTGAAGAAGACACAAATAAATGGAAAGCCATTCCATGGTTATGGATTAGAAGAGCTGATATTGTTAAAATGTCCATCCTACCTAAAGCAAAGATTCAGTGCAGTCTTTATCAAAATTCTAAGGGCGTTTTTTTTTTTTTATAGAACTAGGACAAATTATTCTCAAATTGACAAAGAACCACAAGGAAACCTCAAATAGCTAAAATAATCTGGAGAAAAAAGAACAAAGACAGAGCTATCATAATCCTTGATTTCCAACTATCCTGCAAAAGCTATAGTAATCAAACAGTATGGTATTGGCAAGAAAACAGAAACAGAATAGAGAACTCAGAAATAAACGCATGCAAGTCTGATAATTAATTTATAACAAAGGAGCAAAGAGTATACAATGAGGAAAAGGCAATCTCTTCAATAAAGGGTGTTGGAAAAACAGGACATCTACCTGCAAAGAATGAAATCGAACCACCATCTTATAACATATACAAAAATCAGCCAAAATGGATTAAAGACTTGAATGTAAGACCAAAAGCTATAGAACTCCTAGAAGAAAACAGGTGGCAAGCTCCCTGACATTAATCTTAGCAATGTTTTATATTGGATCTGGATTCAAAGGTAAGGGAAACAAAAACAGAAACTAATGGTACCACATCAAACTAAAAAGCCTCTGAACATCAAAAGATACCATCGTCAAAATGAAAAGGCAGGCTACAGAATGAGAGAAGATATTTGCAAATCATGTATCCAGTACGGATTAATATCTAAATATATAAAGAAATCAAACTCAGTATCAACAACAAACAATTAAAAATGGGTGAAGGAGGTGAATAGACATTTTCCCAAAGAAGACATACAGATGACCAAGAGGTACATGAACCTTGAAAATGCATCAACAAAACAGGATGGAATGAAGAATGAACAGAGGGATAGATCAGATGGATTGGTTATATAATAAATCAGACAGAGCAAGATAGTCATTCTAAAACCTAGGTGGTGGGTAATGGCTATGCTCTGTAAATTTTATCAAGCTCTCTATATGCTTGAAAATTTTCCAAAATGAAATCTTGAGAAAAATAAATAAATTTCAGGTGTACTTAATATTTAAGTATAGAGCAAAACCCCCAATAAGATAGCACAGGAAAAAAAGCACTTTATAACCCTGGAGTGAAGAGAGATTTTTAAATAAACCAGGAAACCCAAGAAAACATAGAAAAGATCCATATCTTTGACTGTACAAGAGAACAGATGCCTATTTTTGAATAGAAGAATATTAACCTTTTTTGGAAGCCAAAGGATATCATAAACAATATCCAAAGAACAACAGATGGGGTAAGGGGAAACTAACTGTATCATATATGGAGACATAGGTTTAACAACCCTAATGTAAAAAGGCTTGTTATAAATTCCAAAGAAACCAGCACGCAGCCCAGTAGAAAACAGGTAAAGGCATGTACATACAATAAACAGAAGAGGAAACGTGAATCCCACTAACTGTGTGAGAAGACAGTAAAGTAGTACCCCAGCAGTCAGGTGAAATGCACACTAAAACAAAATGAAGTATCGCTTTTCATCTTTGGACTGACAAACTGGTAAAGATCGATTGTCCTTGGTGCTGGTAAGGATGTCGGAAGATGGTCACCATATGTTCTCAGTGGAGTGTAAATGTTCACAAACTTAGAGAAAAGCAGCTTGGCAGGAAGGATGCCCCTAAGACATGCACGTCAGGACAACAGGCATAGTATGATCCCACTGTTATAAAATAAAAATCTTCTAATTTTTGGGCAATGAGGCAGGTGTGAAAAGAGACATGCCTAACTATTAAAATCAATGCTTCGGGACAGATGGTGGTAAACTATGGCCTGAGCGCCAAATCTATCCGGTCGCCTGGATTTTTATAGCCCATGAGCTAAGAATGGTATTTATACCTTTTTAAAGGGTTACCTAACTATCTACACAATATCTTCTAGGCTGCCTCTTAGCTAACAAAGCCTAACATACTTACTATATGGCCTTGAAGGAAAAGTTTACTGATCCCTGCCTTGGGAGATTATGGTTTCTTGGTTATCTTTTTTCCTCTTCTCTGTATTGTTTTTATTTTTATACTAATATACTGGGAGTGAACGTAAGGAGACAAGAAGAAACCAAGAAGACACTTAGGAAGACCAGAAGGGACCAGGTGAAAGACAATGGTGCTTTGGAATAAGGTGGGGGGCTGCAGAGATGGAAAGAAAGAGGCAGATTTTATCTGAATCTATGGGAATTGCCGAGGGATTGGACACGGATGGTAAGGCAGAGAGAAATCAAGGGCGACTCCTAGGTTTCAGTCTTTCATTGAATTGGTGCAACCACGGAGCTGGAAAAACTGGGGTGGGAAATAGAGGAGACCAGGAGCTCTGCTTTGGACCTCTCATGGTTGGGACTGGGACTGTGTGAACCAGACAGCAAGACAGAGGCGATGAGAGCTGCCTGGGCTGTGGAGGGGGGAAGCTGAGTGGCAAATGCCTATGAAAGAGCACTCATCACGGAGATGGTACTTTAAGCTGTCTGGAAGCACTAGAGACAAAGAGGAGGGGACCAAGGGTCTGCCTGGTGACACAGTACCCAACCCCACCGGCACCCACTTCTGCAGATGGACGTCTCTGACACCACGGTCCAACTGCCCGGATTCCTCCAAATCACCTCTTCCAAAGTGTCCTTTTCCCATTGGCCAAGAACACCGTGGCTTCAGAGCAGACACCCTGACCCTTCTTTACAGCCTATGCCCAAATGCTTACCTGGACAACCAGGACAACCAGCTGCTATTGTTTCTCCATCGGGCACCTGCCTGCCTCGGTGGGAGGTAAGTTCAGCTGCTGGTCCCTCCCAGTGTTCCTTTCCATGGGTCCCCCGCCCAGCCGTGTGCAGCCACTTTTTACTCATGTCATGCTTTTACTGAGAACACCAAGAAGGACTCACCAAGGAGCTGGTGTAGGTGGGGTCTGAGGTGTCGTCCTGGAGGTAGCGGGAAAGGCCAAAGTCAGACACCTTGCATACCAGGTTACTGTTGACCAGGATGTTCCTAGCGGCCAGGTCCCGATGCACATAGTTCATCTCGGCCAGGTACTTCATGCCCGCGGCGATGCCCCTGAGCATCCCCACCAGCTGGATCACCGTGAACTGCCCATCGTTTTGCTGTAACAAGACACAAAGGGCACTGGGATCAAGATGGGTTTCCGGGGTTAAACAGAAGCTGCGGTGCCACGGCCCTGCTGCTTGTCAGCCTCCGTCCCTGACTGGCTGTACTGCTCACTTCTCCCTCTGCCCTCCCCACCTCATCCCTCTCCTTGAGTGCTCTGCTCTCTCCTCCTTGCCTTGCCGACCCTGTCGATTCCACCTCCAAAGTACATCTCAAAGCCATCCACACCTCTCCATCTCCACTGCCTTCCTTCTAACCAAGTCGCCATCATCCATCGCCTGTAACAGCCTCCCCGCACCTGCCCCCCGCCATCCATTCTCTACACAGCAGCTAGAACCATCTTTGTAAGACATAAATCAGGCCATGCCACTCCCTGGCTTCAAGCTCTACAACAGCTGCCCTTTCGTTGCATTAAGGAAAAACTCCAAACTCAGCATGGTTCATGGGACCCCGGGGGAATCAGCCACCACCTCAGCTGCCAGCCACAGTGACTGGTGACCTCTCAGTCCTTTCCCAAGCCAAGCTCTTCCTTCTTTGGAGCCCCTATACCTGCTATCCCCTCTGGTCTCCCCCACAATCAACACTTACCTGCCCTTCAGGTCTCCACTAAGTGTCCCTTCTTCAGAGAGAATGACTCTATAACTACTCCCCCCCTCCAAATATGACTATAGCATTTTCTTACTATCTTCCTGTCTTTCATGGATTCTCTTATTTTTCTTCTTAGCACATATCACAAGTTTTAGGTGTGTATGTGGCACACCTACCCATCGGCCTCTGCTGCTTGGCTCTGAAGACAAAACCCTCTCTCCTGTCACCATTGTACTCCCAGTGCTAGGAACTTAAAATAGAGAGAGCTCAATAAACATGCGCTCCATTAATGACTGCTACATCTCTCCCTGTTTCCAGAACTAAATGCTTAAGATGTCTTCCTTGGGTCCTACCAGAGGTGTCCATCTTGACGTTGGGATAGCCATAAAGACCTCAAAGGGTAAGTGGCAGGAGAAACACACACACAACGTACAGCATTGACCCTCTTAGCGAACGGGAGCCAACCTACAGTGTTGCCCTCTCTCCAGTCACTGGTGGGCTCACTGTTTCCTGGGTGGATGCTCTCCTTCAAGGTTTGACGACAGACCTCAGTGATAGTATCAGCCTTCCTCCTGCCTCCCCAAAGCCCTTGGGTCTTGGCTTCTGCACACACTGGTTACATCAATGGATGCTGTGCTTTGCTGCCAATAACATGTTTTCTCTTCTAGGCCAGCCCCAGCTGCTCCATCGAAGGGCTGTAAGTAGTGTTCTGTTAAGTAAGCTTGGCCCAGGCACTGAGATGCTTTGACTGGGGGAGAGGTGAGAGGAGGCGGAACACCCAGGGTCTAGTCTAAGTTACTGCTGGACACAGACCCTGGGCAAGGCGGCCACTCCCCAGCGCCCTCCTGTGAAACACAGCAGGCATAATAGTGCACAGCTCCCATTTACTAAGCACCCATTGCATGTGAGGTGATACACAACACATTCATGTGTACTACCTCACTTATGTATGTGTGAGACACATCTATGCATGAACTTCTACAAAAGCATTTTCCATGCAAAAATAAATATGGAAAATAAAACAGCCATTGCAAAAATAACCCTGTTTATTAGAGAAAACCCTGCCAATCAAGTGGTATAACTATGATAGTGTGAATGTTGAAGACTTCCTCCTGCAAGATTGCAAGCCTGGGTCTGTGTTCTCGAACTTTGCCCCTGGATCAATCAGAGTGAGCAAACCGATCCTCCCTTCATGCGTTCCTCAGATCCCTCCCAGAGCAGGACCCCCAAACACACTGGGATCGACACACCCCAAGCTCCAGGCTGGCCATTTCTAACTCAAACCTTAACCACCTCCCAGCCTGCCTGGAATGCTTCTCTGCAATATTTTCTCCTAACCAACTCCAAAAGGAAGTGCAGATCTGCTTTCTGGAAACTCTGACTGTTGTTCAGCACATGGCGCCCATCTGCCAGAGCTGGATGTGCTGTGAGTGATACGAATGCTCCTCCTTGCTAATGAACTTCAATCAACACCTCCTCAAGAAGTTAGCCAGGCTTTTGCAAACACCATTCATTTTCTCTAAGTAGGTCTCTGGGGACCTGCCTCCCCAGAAAGTTGTCATGCAACTTCTGTATGTTCGAAAATGTATCTCAGCTACAAGTCACAAGGGTTACATTTTTCCAATTCAGTTTGTTACTTCCTCTCTGTAAGTGTAGACAACATTGTGGTTAAAAATGGATGTCTCCCATAAGAAGCCCGCCTGTAGATAGATTCTGGGGAGGGGATCGGTGGTGGTAGTAAACAGCTCTGGGAAGAGAAATGTTGGAAGAATGTGTGGCAATAGGTCTATTTCTACTTTAAATCACTGAAGCCTTCATGGAGCAGCTTTACCATGGGATTTGTTTTAATATTTAGGTCAGTCGCCCTTATAGTTTCTGGGGTGAACAAAGACTAAGAAATAGTTAAAAGTCCAGGCTTTTGGGGCACTTGTGTGGCTCAGTCGGTTAAGCATCTGACTTGGGCTCAGGTCATGATGTCACAGTTTGTGGGTTTAAGCCCCATGTCAGGCTCTGTGCTGACAGATCAGAGCTTGGAGCCTGCTTCAGATTCTGTCTCCCCCTCTCTCTCTGCCCTTCCTCTGCTTGTGCTGCTCTCTCTCTCGTTCAGAAATAAAAAAATAAACATTAAAAAATAAAGTCCAGGCTTTGGAGACAGACAGACCTGCACTGGACCCAGGCTCTGCAGCTCACTGGCTGTGTGCCCTTGGGCATGTTAAATTCCAGGGCCATCATTCCCATATCTGTAAAATAAGAACATAGTGTCCATTCATCATAGGATTTTGGCGAGGTTAAATGAGACAATATATGTGAAGGGGCTTAGCTCGGTGCCTGTGAATACTAAGACAGCAATGATTGCTGGTATTATCAGCCAAGCCATGTCTCACAAATCGGCTCTCCCTGAGCCTGGTGAGAGAGTCTGAGGACACCGGGTGCCAGGACTTGGGTTCTCTGCAGCTTCCTGGTATGTTAGGGACACATCTTAGGATCCCAGACATAGGAGAACCTCGTCCCTGGGCATTCTGAGCTCCACAGGTTGGCATCTACAGTAAACCCCCAACCTTCCACACCCCAGCTATAGCAGTGGATGACTGGGGCCTAATGATGCAGGCCTGAAATCTGGGTCATTTATTACCTAAAATGATTTCTTCTATTTCTTGACTTTTGAATGGCAAGTCATTCTTGATGGAATATGTTTGATCCTCCTTTGTGAAAGGCAGGCAACAGTTTATTGCCTTTCAGAAAAGACGAAGTCCACAAAGTTTAAGTGATCAGCCTTAAATTATTCTGTGTGGCTTTGATTTATCACAAGAATCTAAGTCCAGGATAGCAAATTACTTCTGCACTGACATTCCATCTGTGATCAACTGGTAACGCCTTCCTCAAATGTGTGGAGAAGGCTGTGTAGAAGCTTTGTAGCAAAAAGTGACATGGTTGATTAATGACGTCTGCCAGGGTCATAGAAAAAGAAAGTAGAGACATGTGTACCTCAAATACGCTACTCTTATTTGAATCTTTAAATTCCCGTCCAGGGCCTTTTCCATGGAATATGCTGACTTTGTGATGGCAACATATTTTCTTTAGAACCTGCAGGGTAATCACGTTTCATGATAAGACAGGATCCCGCCTGTTGAGTTCATAATCCTGGTGAAACTTAAAGACATAAACCTATTAAGATTCCCTGACACATTCAACTGTTTTAAGTTCAGTTCATTGGTCTAACTCCCCAAGAAGAACCTTCAAAGAGAGGAACATCAGCATACCAAGATGTACGCGTCAGAAAAAGCCCAGTTTTCTCAGTGACTGGGAAAGGATCAGGCTCCACGCTGATCACACAGTAAAAAGCAGTACAGAGAAGAAATACAGCACAGTGAAGTGATTTAAACTTTCCTCCCTTCATGAAGTGCTTTCTGCTGAAATTGCTTTTTGGCAAATTCACTGACGCCACTTGCTGGCCCTTTTATTAGGCAGGAAGGATTTAGGTATTTCAACTTTCATTGACAAATCCACTTCAGGAAATGAAACCCTTATTTGATTTGTTTGAAGAGAATGAATCATAGATTTTTTTTTAACTGTAAGAACCCTACCTTTCAAGATCATTCAATTCCAATGCCTTTAGTTTATAGATTGGGAAATTGAGTTAACAGATTTGCTAAAGGCCACTGGTGACTCACGGCGGAGTGCAAAGCAGAACCTAGGTCTCAGGAGGTCCAGTCTGGCATTCTCCTCCTGATCTCTGGGTTATGGTCATGCACTCCAGCCTGTGAATGAGCCTCCCTGATAAGAAATGTCTGCATTTGATAGTTCTCAGTAACTTTCAAGGGTCCTCCAGTTATGACCATCAGTGGATGACCCAGCAGCAACTACAAGGCCAAGCAAGGCAAGAAGGGTCTACAGAGCATGTTGACCTTCTTGGCTATGGCACGGGACATTGAAGAGGGCTTCAGGGGCCATTCCTAAGATCATGCGAGAGACACCAGTGCCAACAGGATCTATTATGGATTTGTATGCTACACAATCCATGACACAGACATTTAAAAACATGGATAATACTGAACCTATGGAATGTGTGGTTAGAAAATAAGGCGTTTCTAATCCTTCCAGAAGGTGCAGGATTCTAAGTCCTGCAATGGGAGACAAGCAGTGGGTGGGCTGCAAGAAGCCAGTGTGCCCACTGGATCCCCAGTGGCCACAGCCTCCCAGACACAGGCCCAAAGCTGGAGCTGCAGCCACTCTCCAAAGCTGCTGTGCCCAGTGTAAATGGGGTGTGTGTGTGTGTGTGTGTGTGTGTGTGTGTGTGTGGTGTGTGTGTGTCTCGGGGCAAGGGCAGTTGCACAAATTGAGGACTAACTCTTTTCCTTTCTTCTCTGAATGGTGAGCCTAAAATTATACTACTTCCCAGAAGATGGACCCTGCAGAACTGAACTGATGACCTACTTTTCAATTTTACCAAGCAGCAGATACATCAATTAATGTTGCTATGCTCCAGGGTTTGGTAGTAAGGCTGAAATTAGATTTATAGATTACCTGTCTCCATGCCGTGCGAGGAGTCAGAAACGCTTCATTTCCCCTCTCCTCTTGGCGTAGCCTGCCCCGCCACTCCTTACTTGCCATCCCTTCTCCTCTGCCTCTCTGTGTTCCCCTCTTGCCTCTGGCTCTTCTCCCACCCCCAGGCCTCATCATCATGACAAATACTGGTGTTCACCATGTCTGCAGGTCTTGGGCCTCGCATGGAAATAGGTCTGTATGGAGCATCAGTGTAGGGTTTTGATTCTCTGCAGCCTCCTGAGAATGAATTTCCTTGTTCCCTGCATGTTTCAGGGAGAAAGTCTGATCACAGGCTTTAAATCGTGTTGTGACTCTGAGAAGTTCAATCAAGTAACTCACAGGAAATAAATGACTCCTAAAACGGTCTGGAGGCTGGTCCCAGAAAGTCCTTTTTCTCCTAACATGGCCTTCTGTTCACATTTAGTCAGCTGTCTTCACGAGAAGATCCCTGGTCATGAACGAATGCCACCAGGGAAGCACAGTCTCTACTCGACTCTGACATGAGAGGTCCGGCCACAAGAACAAGAGACCATGGACGCTCAGGATGAGTACATTTCCCCTGTCATTCCCACACATTTTTGTGCCAGAAATAATTTTTTATGGCTTTTAAAAAAAAAATCAAAAAAAAAAAATCCAAGTAGCATTTATCAGGTGCTCACTGTGTTAGGCACTAGGGGTTTCAAAATAAAAGGCATGGCACATACCCTCAAGGAGCCTGTACCAGGCAAAGTACATCTGCCCCATCCGTTGTCCCCGCACATCCCCTCGTTCAAAAATAAGCCACTATTGCCTAATAACCCAGAGGAGGCAAAGGTGCGTGTTCACCCTGCCAAGGTAGTTTCAGTATGTGCAAATGCAGCCTCTAGACAAGTCCCCTGGCTACCCTTTCACACTGCAGCCCCAAGCCCTGCTTCTGAGCTTTGGAGCCACCACCAGCTGCCGGACGGTTAACAGACAGGCCATGCTGGCCCTGAACTCTGAATACACAGCTCAGTTGTTCTGTCATACCTGCCTGCCCCCCTGTCTGTCTGGTGGGTTCCTCATTCTCCAATATCAGATCATTCTCCCTCCTCTCTGAAGCCTTCCCTGGCTTCCCCAGGAAGATTTCAGTTCCTCCAGCCTTATGACACCTCTTTACACCACACACAGAACAAAAAGCAGAATCTAGGCAGATGATTGCTGGGCACTTGGGGCACGAAGGTCCTCAGAGCAGGGACCTCTGTGGCAGGTTGTAGTCTCCAAGGGGGGGGCCACAATAGGCCCTCCCATCCCTTATGTGTAAGACAACATCATGCTGCTGTCCCCCATCAAGATGTGGGGCCCATTTCCTCCCCTTGGATCTGGAGAGTCATATCACAGTAGTTGAAGGGTGCTGTGGGGCTTGAAGCTAGGTTCCAAGAGTGGCACAGCCTTTGCCTTCTCGTGGGATGTTTGTTCCTGGGACCCAGCTTGCTGCGAGGAAGCCCAAGCAGGCCACCTGGAAAGACACCAGTTGACACCCAACATCAACTGTCAGACAGATGAGTGAGTGAACGTTTGGATGATTCCGGGTCCCAGATATTGAAGTGCCCCAGCTGATCCCACATGGAACAGAGATCTCCCCACCGAGCCCTGCCCACACTGCAGACTCACAAACAAAATAAATTGTGCTAAGCCACTGAACTCTTGGGTGATCTGCTACATAGCAGTAGAGCAATGTCGCTTTCATCTCTGTAGGCCCAGCACCCAGGATGGGGCGTGACCACAGTGCTCACCCCATGAATATTTCAAGACCAAGTATATGAATGATCCTTTGATCTGCAGCCGCAGCTACTGTTTGGTAGCTCTGGTGACATGCACAGCCTGCCACTTGGTATTACCCTGAAGTCCTCACTCAGAAGGCCGTGCTCCATTGTGATGCTGCCCGTGTACTCTCTGCTCTCAAGCCTCAGCTGAGGCAGGACTCGCTCACTGGCCTATGCTCAGTCAGCTGCCACTCTGCAGGCATCAGCATCATGGCTGTTCTCACTCACCCCTGCTCTGAGGAACTCTGTGATGTCCCTTAGAAATGAAAGTGACTCCAGCATGACTCCACATGAGCATGTTTTGACAACAATCACTTACAGACCCTGCCGTCAGTGGCCTGGAGGTACCCCCACCTCTGCTGTAGGTTGGAGCCACATTGCCTCGTCACTACCCCTTCAGAGGGCGGGTGGCCCGGGAATCAGACAAGGGCAGACTGTTGTATCTCTGAGCTGCAAATGAAGGGAGCAGGCGGGGAGGGTGCTTCCTCTGTGCCGGAGAAAAGGCAGAGATGGCCACTGGCGTCTGTGTGAATCACACAGGGCAGCATAGCAGCTGAAGTCTCCTCAATCTCCGTGATTCATGCAGGTGCCGATGGCCATTCTTCACCCGCCTCTATTCATCCAACAAGTATTTATCGAGGCCCTACTCTACGCTATCCTCCTTCTGAGGGGTCCACAGGCTCCTCTTTGTTCTACCCTTTCAGGAACAGATCTGTCACCCTCGCGAACATCTCCAACGCCCACCCACATTTCATCAGGCGATTCCTATGTGGCAGCTCACCCTCATGCAGACGTGTCTGCCCAGCATTCAACACTGCGAACATCACCCAGACCCCGGAGCCGCTCTTACCCTGAGGAAAGAATCCAAAGCACCGTTCTCCATGAACTCCGTGATGATCATGACGGGCCGACTCTTGGTGACCACGCCTTCCAGGCGAATGATGTTGGGATGGTCAAACTGGCCCATGATGCTTGCTTCACTCAGGAAGTCCCGGCGCTGCTTCTCCGAGTACCCAGCCTTCAATGTCTTAATGGCCACATAGATTTCCCTCTTGCCTGGAAGTTTCAAACGCCCCTTATATACTTCTCCAAACTCCCCTGCAATAAGAATGCAATCATCACTCATTTCCTTCTCAGTCTGTGGAAGGACAAGGGAAGGAAGCTTACCAGGAACAATAGTGCTCCAAGTGGAACCAAAATTAAAGTGACAGGGATGGAAATAATGTCCTCTCATTTTATTTTTTTAGAGATTTTTAATGTTTATTTGTTTTTTGAAGGAGAGAGAGACAGAGCATGAGATGGAAAGGGTCAGAGAGAAAGGGAGCCACAGAATCTGAAGCAGGCTTCAGGATCTGAGCTGTCAGCACAGAGCCCCACAAGGGGCTCAAACCACAAGCCACGAGATCATCACCTGAGCCGAAGTCCGACGCCCCCGTCCTCTCATTTTAACTATGATGCCCTGGTCCTACTCAGTTCATGGCAAACACCAAAGTTGTACCAAAATAATGTTTTTCGCCTTAGTTCTTAGAAAGAGTTTGGGTAACTAAAGTCGAATTCCAGAGTATATATGAGTTTGTTTTTCCTCACATTTGGTTTTTGTGTCCCAGCTGAATAATGGAAACGAAATGGTCAGTTTCACTTTGGCAGGTCATAATTCATTTTCAGCAGAGCCTGGTGCAAGAACGTCCAGGGGCCGGGGGACATGTTCGGGCTCCTTGGCCCTCTGAACGAGATGTTCCTACATTGCCCTGGAAGTTCTGTGTCAATCAGACACCCCAGAAAGCAGACACTGAGAAGTGAGGTGGGGAAGTTAACAGACGCCGTGCAGCATAGCAGGGGAGGAAACGAGATTGGCCAGAGTCCCAGATCACAAGGCTGTCCTGACATTATGAAGAGGAAGGAGGATGCAAGAATGGACAAGGAGAGCTCCAGATCGCAATGCAGACCTGGCTGAGGCGGACCGGTCAGCCTCTTCCTCCTCTGGGGAGCTCCGGAGTCAAGAACACCCATTCCAGGAAGGCCTGAGCTCTAGCCTCCCTCCACACTCAGTCCCTGGCAGGGGCTGCAGGGAAGCTGAAGGCCCTGAAGGCGCTGCAGCTGGAGGCTGGCGGCTCCATGCCCTCCTGGCAGCTGAACAGTCGGTGATTTCTCCAAGCAAACATGAGCTGCACATCTCCACGGGTGCCACAGCATTTAAACATTTGTGCAGTAAAAATCACCGAGTAAAAACAATTCTGGCAACACTATTTCAGAGCTGCTTTAAAAAATCTGTTGAATCCTGTTAAATGTGCTTTCAAAAGTTATTCTACGACTTAGCCTGGTTTTGTAACTAACTGTTTAGTTATCTTCTTGTAAATGCATCGCTGAAATGTGTGTCGAAGGCCCGACACGAGACACAGTGCTTTCTGCCGGGGGAAGTTTCTCTTTCACCTTTAGCTTCTGGAAGAAAATGAGGGGGCAAACTGTGAGTGGATAAACCACTGGCCGAATTAGGAAAGGAAGTTAACATGACCTCTGTGATTTAGTTGGACGTTTTTTTTTTTTTTCCCTACTTTGAACGTAATTGGAAGGAAGCTGCATGAAAGGGCTTTTCATGCAAAGCTCCAGGGTCAGTGGGACTTGTTAGAGTCTAGGGCTGGAGTAGAGGTTGGATTCAGCACCATTAGGATGATTTCAATGTGGACCTTAAGACATATATCATGTGTGACCCTGGTTTTGACATTTAATAGAATGCTGCTTTGATGAATGAACTGCTTTAAGTCAGACTGTGTCTCATTCACGTTCACAGCTTGGAGTGCCCACTGATGCCTGGGATGTGGCTGGCACGCCAATGAAAGGTGGTGGTGGTGGTGGTGGGGGTGTACTTACTATTCCTTGTTTGGCTTTTGCTTGGTCTGCTCTTGGGTTATAACCTGCTGGAGACTCTATCCCTGCTCTATCCCAAAGAAGTAGAAGTACTAGTATTTAAATTTTTATAAAAGGTTGTTTGCTGCTGCATCTTCTCCAGCAAGATACAGAATGCCCATTACCAGGGGATGGAGGGAGAGTGGTGCGTCCAGCCTGCAGAATGCCAGCAGATACTGAAAACCACTGGAGGAGTCATATGCACTGACTTCAAACATGTCCGTATTATACTGTTAAATGAAGAAAATTATGGAATGGCAATGCAGTATGTACCCAAATGGAGGGTGTGTGTGGAAGCAGAAGAAAAACAACGGAAAAAATCCATGTAAAATTTATTTAAACTTCAAATTAAAGATATGTTTAAAAATGGCTGCCCTACAAGCATAGGAATAGGAGTGGGGAAGTAATGTTAGTCACCTTAATTTAGTTACTTTTAGGTTACTTTGATGTTTGAATGGTTATAATAAGCATTACTTTTGTTGTTCAGTTGAGAAACTTTTTTTTAACTTTTTATTTATTTTTAATTTAATGTTTATTTTTGAGAGAAAGACAGAGTCCAGGTGGGGGAGGGGCAGAGAAAGAAGGAGATACACAGTCCAATGCTGGCTCTAGGCTCTGAGCTGTGAGCACAGAGCCCGACACGGGACTCAAACCCTCAAACCACGAGATAATGACCTGAGCCATAGTCGGACACTTAACCAACTAAGCTACCAGGAGCCCTGGATTAATTAGCATTTTTTTAAATGTACTGCACAGTAGGGGTCTGTCATATATGTGTGCATATGTATATGTACATATACGTGTATACAGTATACATATATGTGCACTTGTCTATATTTGTATACATGCGTCTACACATGCATATATGTGTGTATATATGTCTGATCTATAATATGTGCATGTACCTGTACATGTACAATCCACCCTTCTGACACCTTGACCTAACCATGAGCTATATGAATACAAATTGCATATTTGATAAGTATGCCAATTGAAGAATATCAGTATTTCTTCCTTGTTGCTATAATAATGAGATACATTTTCTTTCAGTAAAAGGACAGTTTAGGAGTCGAGGACATTTTGCCTTAGAGGAGATAGGATACCAAAGTCTACAGACCACTTACTATGTGCCAGGCAATGTGCTAGGCTCTTTGTATGTCTTATCTCACTTGATCTTCATAGCACCCTCATGAGTTGGGTATTACGATGCTCATTTTACTAACAAGGAAACTGGGGCACAAGGAAAACATGCCCAAACTCCACAGCTATGAGTCCGAGCCAGGGTTGCTGCCCAGGCCCATCCCACTTCCTGCCATGCCGCTCTCGATGGGTGTGCTCAATTAGCAGTGTCACAGGGAACACCGCCGTATGGATATGAAGTCACAATCAAGGGACCACTGTGTCCCAACTGTGCAGGTCCTGACAGTTCACGTGCAGTCCGTTACAGCAACTCACACGAGGGAACTGCAAACACAGTGGGGCTGTCTCACAGACAAAGGTCACGTTCACTGAAACTTCCTGCCTGGGGTCCGGTGGGATCAGAATATTTAGGAATTGGAATATTCATCAGTTTCTACATCAGTTTCTACAACAGTGTGTGGAGTCTGGGAAAGGGCTCCAGGTGAATCCCATGTCCTCTACAACACACAAAGGACACCCCAGGTAAGGACGTCTCTCCCACACCAGTGGTTCCCAAAGTTGGCCACCCACTGCAGTCACCTGGGGAGCTTTCCAAAGTACACAGGCCTGGGTCCCACCTCTGGGAAATCTGATCTGCTGGTCTGGCTTCACCCCGAGCCTGGAGATACTTGAAAGCTGCCTGCAGGATCAACTACATAATTTGTGGGTCAGATCGAGGTGCAAAATGAAATCGCGGGACTCCTTGTTCAGAAATTATGAAGGATTTCAAGCCTGTGACAGCAGGGCATTAAACTAAGTGTGGGCCCCTTTGAACAAGGTGTTGCCCAGGCAGCTCTGACGTGCAGCCAGGTGGAGCACCATGGGTCTAAAGCACCCAGGCATAGTTCAGATGGATTAGGGAGCTGTCGGAGGCCCTGGAATTCCTGGGATTTATTACACCACCTTTGGGTCCCTCGGAAAGCAGTGCTGGTATATGGGCTGCCTCTTACAGCACAGTGCCTGCCCCAGAGTGCAGGCTTTATACACTCGGGAGCAGAAGGAAGGAACACAAGAGGGAAGAGACCAATGAAGAAGGTGTGGCTTTGGCAAGTGCTAGCTCCATAGAACGGTGTGGCTCATGTGACTTTCTTAACTGACAAATGTTACTTCATTGCTTAATCTTTGCGGCTGACTGGTTTTCAGGTGCAGTGCTTCTAATACTTGAGCTTTAAGTTGTATCCTCTGTAGGGGTTTCATCATACAGTTTTTTTAATTTCTTTTTTTTCCAGTTTATTTATTTTGGAGAGTGTGTGTGAGACAGAGAGAGGCAGGGAGGGGAAGAGAGAGAGGAAGAGAGAGAATCTGGTAGTGCAGAGCCTGACTCAGGGCTCCAACTCACGAACTGGTGAGATCATGTCCTGAGTCGAAATCAAGAGTCACATGCTCAACCATTGAGCTACCCAAGCACCCCTCATATAGCTTTTTGTAAAAAAATTATAAAATAGAACTCCCCTATGACCCAGCAATAGCACTGCTAGGAATTTACCCAAGGGATACAGGAGCGCTGATGCATAGGTTCTTCATAGATTTTGAATACTAACTCTTTATCTGATATGTCATTTGCAAATATCTTCATGCAAATAGGAGTGCATGATGCATACATGCATACATGTACATGGCACATGTACCCCAGTGTTCACAGCAGCACTCTCAACAATAGCCAAAACATGGAAAGAGCCTAAGTGTCCATCAACGGACGAGTGGATCAAGAAGATGTGGTTTATCCACACAATGGAATACTACATGGCAATGAGAAAGAATGAAATCTGGCCATGTGTAGCAACATGGATGAAACTTGAGGGTGTTATGCTGAGCGAAATAAGTCAGGCAGAGGACAAATACCATATGTTTGCACGTATAGGAGGATTAGGAGGAACTTAATGGTGGGCCATGGGGGAGAAGGGGAAAAATAACTGGGGAGAGGGAGGGAGGCAAACTATGAGAGACTCTTGAATGCTGAGAACTGAGGGCTGATGGGGGTGGGGGAGAGGGGAAGGGGAGTGATGGGCATGGAG